GGGTGGGGGGGGGCACAGACTCATTGTTAAGGCTCATTACGGGATCTCGGCCTCTGCTATGGGTGCAGCCATCTTGTGTTACGGAAACCCCTGCCTCTGCTGTGGGCGTCACCATCTTTGTGGTGGAGTGACAGTCAATTTCCATATTCACTCTTTATTATATAGGATAGCATAGTGTCTGGCATATAAAGGTGTTTGTTTGGGGTCAAAGAGCTGGAAGGTGGAGTAGCTGGGACTTGAGCTCAGGCCCATGGCCTCTGATCTATGCAACTATTCACCTATCACTTTTCAGGGATAATAAAGGAAACAAAGTGCTTACAACAGGGTTAAAAGGGCCTTCTCTGTAATTAACTTCAGATAATGCTGGCAGAGTTACCAGCTTGCCCAGGGCTGAAATAATCCTCAGGGAAAGTGGAAGATATTGCCTGCTCTAACTTTTTTTCTAGTACAGGAATAGTTATTCAGGATTCATCACAGGCAGTCCTTCTGCCCCTCCTTAGAAGAGTCTTGTAGATTATGGAGCCTTTCCTAATTTGGTCTCACTCTATTATATTCAACTTTATTTTCTACTACTTCTTCCACATCCCATTTCCTCCAATCAGGCTGGTTTCTTCCTCGCTCCTTCCTCTAAGTGGGTTTGTTCGTACCTCTATATCTGTGGCCATCTACTTGTCTGATTGCCCTCCCCTCTCCTTTCCAGTTCTCAAAATTCACTCATTATTCAATAACTAGTCTAAATGTCATTTTTCATGACCCTTTCCCTGACTTCTTTTTCTTAACATCTATTGCATTTACTGCTACCACATAGTTTCACACTTACTTGCTCTACATGTGCTAATTTTATTGCCTCCTCACTAATCCTTCCCAGCAGAATGTAAGCTCCTGGGTGGGTACAGTTTTTTGTATCATCCACAGGCTTACCTTGTACAAGACTAGGTTTACAGGAGGTACTCAGTCCATATTTAATGGCTAATAATAGATGGGCAGCCTTAGTGCTAGAGAGATGAGGTCAAACAAGTCAGTAACCAAGTTCATGACTGGAAATCATGGCCCCTAATTCTCTGAGCTTCAGTTTTGGCACACATAAGCCAAGTTGGATGAGGATGCTTCAGGGAGGGCCTAGGCCTTAGGCTAGAAAAAACCTTTTCTGAGCCCGAGAAGCAGTGAGTATTACCTCGGTAGTCTAGGGCAGGGACCTGTGGGACCTCTTCAGCATATACTTCATTGTAGCTTTCATCTGGGTAGTAGCCTGAACCTAGAATGAATAAGACAATATTAATATGACATATTGATTTCTCACTCAAGTCCTTCCAAACCATTCCCCCTTTCAACTTGGTCCCTTACTGAGGACAGGGCACTCCATATAGGGGTGGCGAGCCAGGTGGATATTTAGTGAGAAAAATTCTTCCTTGTAAAGCAGCAGAATTATTATGGGTAAACCTCAATACCTTAGGTGCATAAAGGGGGAGCTAATGGGATGGGGAGGGGGGCACTGGTAGCACTAAAAGCCTCCATTCGAAAGAGAAAAAAGCTAAATATCTTGATCATCAGTCAATCCCACCAGTCTGGGCTATAAATGACCCATTTCCTTGGTGAGTCACTGATAACCAAGCTCTGAGGTTGGACAGCTGTCATAGATAGGAGGAAAAAATAGAACCTGAGTAAGGGTCTTTCCACTAGTGACAAGCCTGCTCACAGTCCTCAGAAGGATGTGATTCCTCAAGCTCCCACTAGCCCACAGGGCACCAACCTTTTGCCACCTGGTTGTTATTGCTAAGAGTGGCATGCCAAGACAAAGAGAGAGGGCTCAAAGGGCAAGGGAAAATGAAAATAGTTTTATGTCCTGAGTGGTTTGTCCTGGTTTGGAGGAAAAAACAAGCAGAGTCCCTTGGAGGAAAAAGCAAGCAGAGTTCTTTCTGGTTCCTCTAATCAGCAGGAGTTTTACAGGGAGCTGATGAGCTGGAAAACATTTCCAGTCCACCCCCATTCCGTTAAGTGGCCCAGTCCCTGGTACAGGCAGGTCTGCGGCTGTCTGGGAGACTAAACAGTGTGTTCCACTAGACGGCAGGAAATCAGTCATGAACACAAACTAATTGGAATACAACTTGGTGCTTTCCGGAGTGAAGTTTCAGGAAGCGCTCCTTCCAGCCTCCCTGAGCCCTAATGCACGCACAGGAATACAACAGCCAGCCATGCTGGAGTCAGAAGACAATTCCTCACTTCCAGGAAAGGTCGTGTTTCCAGGACAGGGCTGGGTTTTAGTTCTGGAGCCCTTGGCCTGTGTAAACACTCAGACCACAAAGTGCCTGCCTCCTCTCTGGGAAGAAGCTCAGGGCCCCCTACACAAAAGGGTGGAGCAGATGGCTAGATGATGAAGCTCCTCCATTCCCCACAGACTGGGGGTGGGGGATATTGGGAAACCAGTCCAGCTTGATGAACAAGGGAATGAATCAAATAGAAAATTTGCCTTATGAAATCATGTCCTCATTGGTTTGCCCTCATTCCAGAGGAAAGACTTCATTTTTTCTCTTTCCCTTGACTTTTTATATTTTCCCATTTCAGTTCTTCTGGCTTCCCTTTATTTCTCCCCAGGCTTGCTCTCGCTTTTCTCACATGGGAGGTTTCTTCATGGAGGCCAAAAAACGCTCACCAGCTGTTTCAGTTTAGCATTAGCTTCAAACAGCTCTTGTAAACAGGAGGCCAGATGTGTGTGATTCCCTAAAGCAGAGGTTCTCAACCTTGGCTTCACATTAGAATCACCTGGGAATCTTTTTAAAATCCTGATTTCTGGGCCCCATCCTCCAGAAATTCTGTTTCTTTGTTATGGGGTGGGGCCACAACATTAGTAACAAAGAAACAGAATTTCCGGAGGATGAGGCCCAGAAATCAGGATTTTACAAAGATTCCCAGGTGATTCTAATATGCAGCCAAGGTTGAGAACCACTGCAAAGGATTCAGTCCCCACACTCCTGTTCCAGAGCTTGCTTGTAAGGAAATGGCCAGCAGGGAGCAAGCCTCGGTTTACCAGACAAGCAAACAGGAATGACAGGCCTATGGCTGGATAACAACAATGACTGCTAACATCACTCATCACGTGTTCTGTGTTTAGCCCGTTACATGTGTTATCTCATTATGCCATCCTGACATCTCAATGAAATTGACACCCTTATTTCTCTCTAATGTATAGATGAGGAAATAGGTTCAGAGGAGTGAAGGAGTAGCTCAAGTTTCCTAGCGAGTAAGAAGTAGAGTGGACATTCCAGCCCAGGGCTGTTTGACTCTTTCAATACCAAACTCAGACACCCCACTAAAGATGGCAGTAGGGGAAAACTTTGAACAATGTCCAGCAGCAGGGCTAAAAATCCGAAATCTTTTTTGCAATCCAGCTTTTTTTACTCTGTGTGTGTGGGATGTAAAGCCAACAAGTATTTTACATCATTCTAGAATTACAGGGGATGTGGGAAAGCTGAGGGAAGACTCAGTCAGATAATTATAGTCTCCACCAGGGTGCAGAGGTAGCTGCACCAGTGCCAAGTTTGCTTTGTGATGGCAGTCACCTTACTACTTTAAGCCTTTCCATTTTCCCTCTCTGCCTGTCTTTGGGTATTTTCTATGAATATTAGGATATTGAGATGAGACATAAGAAACTAGAAGGGCACCCTTTCTACATTGTTCTATCTGCTTGTCCCTCTTCAGCCCCGGGGTAGAGAGATTTGGGCAGCATTCCTCAGTGGTTACTGTAAGGTCTATTACTGGGTTCCATAGTATAGTCAGATGCTCTAAGCCAGCCGTGGGCAAACTATGGCCCGCGGGCCGGATCCGGCCCGT